AAATCTTTAAAAAAAAATAGATAAATTTGGAACGAATACATTGAAGATAATGTATATAGGGCTGTTCAGTAATTAATGGAAATAAGAGACGGTAAAAAATTAGTTGTAAGCAAAAAGTTAGTGTACGATAATACAAGAAACAAAGAAATCTTAAAAAAATAGACAGATTTGGTACGAATACATTGAAGGTGATGTATGTAGGGCTGTTCAGTAATTAATGGTAAATAAGAAGCGGTAAAAAAATTAATTGTAATCAAAAAGTTTAATGTAAACAAGGTGTTGAAATTAGGATAGAAATATGACATTCTTTAAATATCTCTGAGGATATTTGATGTAGGCTGATGAACCTTGGGCCAATGATTTATCTAAGTAGAAATAAAAACCCACATGAAAATTTGTTAGTCACTGGCAGAGGCAAGGGGGGTCAATGCCACTAGGAGGATCAAAATTTCGACGCCATCGATGCCGCAAATTCGGTTGCTGTCTCTTTACCAAATAAAGAATCCAGCACAAAACATATGGAAATTGAACACCGGTCTATGAAACTTCGTATTTTGATAGTCCTCGTCATGCTGATCAAAATTCTCAATGGGCACGAAGCCATACAACCCCTTACAACCACCCAAAACCACCCCCAAAGATCAGGGTAATGAACTTGACAGATTACAGGTCAGTTGGCTTACCGTAATATTTCACTACTGTAGTCGAACCTAGAGACACCTATACCATAACTAGGCTTAAAACTATCAATGGACACCGAGCCCTACAACCCCCATCAACTCCCCCATGCTCTTGACAGATTATCGGTCAATAAAACTAAAGAAATATTTTACTACTGCAATCGAACCTACAGCCAGGGTTTCCCACAAACAGCAAATAATCTTATGGCAGGTTTTGGTACTTTTTGTGGATTAAAGGGTATTAAACAATAAGATGGGTGTAGGATGAAATTCAAGATTGAACGGTTTCATAAGCCGTAAGCAGGGAAGTCATGCCAGGTTTCGATAAGAACTGGGTTGGTCCGACCCCAACCGTGGGATTTAGGTTGGGGGTGGATGGTTCAATTGTCAGGGGTCGGCGTCGGAGAGTATAGAGTAGTGATCGTTTAGGTGGTTTGAGATGGAATTCACGATTAAACACAACTAGTAAGCAGGGAAAAATCACATGACAGGCTTTGGTAGTTGGTGGGGAGGGAGAGGGATGGGGGGTTAAGTCTTTTGGAGATAGTAATCTTAATCCTAGTTACAGTTTGGGTGGCTGTAGGTTCGACTGCAGTAGTAAAATATTTCAGTAGTTTTATTGACTGATAATCTGTCAAGTGCATCCTCCTGACTTTTGGGGTGGTTTTGGGGAGTTGGTAGGGGTTGTAGGGCTCGGTTTCCATTGATAGTCTTAAGCCTAGTTATAGTATAGGTGTCTGTAGGTTCCACTACAGTTGTGAAATATTACGGTAAGCCAATTGACCTGTAATCTGTCAAGTTCATTACCCTGATCTTTGGGGGTGGTTTTGAGGGTTTGGAAGGGGTTGTAGGGCTTTGTGCTCATTGAGACTTTTGATCAACATGACGAGGACTATCAAAATACAAAGTTTCATAAAAATTGACCGGTGTTCAATTTCCATATGTTTTGTGAGGGTTTGGTGGGGGTCGTAGGGGGTCGTAAGGCTCGGTGCCCATTGATAGTCTTAAGCCTAGTTATGGTATAGGTATCTGTAGGTTCAACTACAGTAGTGAAATATTATCGTAAGCCAATTGACCTGTAATCTGTCAAGTTCATTACCCTGATCTTTGGGGGTGGTTTTGGGGGGTTGTAAGGGGTTGTAGGACTTCGTGCCCATTGAAACTTTTGATCAGTATGACGAGGACCATGAAAATACGAAGTTTCATAAAAATTGGCCGGTGTTCAATTTCCATATGTTTTGTGCGAGGTTCTTTGTAAGGAAGATCTCTTACATTTTACTCGAAGAACAAGACGATTATTTTTATATAGATGTGAGCTTACAATACAAAATAGAAATAACTCTTTTCGCAAAAATAGTCATGAGAATTTTTCTGCCAAAAATTAAAAAATATATTTGCACACAAAGTTGTTATTTTGCAAGGGAATAGCTTCTAAAATATATCAAAATGTCACGCGAAAGATTTTTTGAACTATGACTTTGACACATAACAATGTGTTTAGAATTATTTTCATAACCAAAAATTATCATGAACTATATTCGTGGAATGAATAGTTACAGATATTTCTAATTTACTTGTAATTGTATTGTAAGCTCACTTTAGTAGAAAAAAATCTAAATCAATCGAATTGGCTCGTTCTTCGAGCAAAACGTAAAAAAAGGTTTCCCTTGACCTTCAATTGACTCAAAGGCTAATAAAATATGTCATATTTTTTTCTAATTTCAATATCCTGTATCTCGAAAGTGAAGCAAACTACGACCCACGCGCATATGAAGCTTTTAGCTTGGAATTAATTTTTCTATCATCTCTTAAAAAGTAATGTCATTATTTACTGAACACAATGTATAGTAATTAATTTGGGAAATGATAAGAAAACTAATATATTTTTTCAGTCGCATATGTATTATGATTACACAGAAAAAAATCCAAAATGTCTAACTGTTTAAAAAATACGCAATTCTTTCAATTTCAAACAGTACAAAATATGCTTGTTTGTAGAATAGGTATGCAACACAAAGTACAGTTGAATCATGAGGTGTTGTCGATACACTTTGCAGTAATTATTGTTAGTATTATTACAATCGACATTTACAGAAATGTTATTTCGCTCTGATGTTTTCAAAATTGGGCTAATAAGTTAATCATGAAACACCTAAGGTCTTGTACATTATTGTTATTAGTTTAAACCACTAGGGAAACCAAAGTTGAAGGGCGCTTCAATAAATGTTTCCTTTACCATAAAATATTCAAATATTGATTACTGGCCAATGGTGTAGGGATCTCTCCTAACGTATACTTACCAAAATCGACAGGTATGTCGATTATTTTGTTGATATAGGCAAAATTCATAAAATAATAACAATTTCAGCATCTTAAAAACAAAAGGCAAAAGATCAATTCGACTAACACAAGACAGATTCTTTTTAAGATGTACTTTTCAGCATGTTGGAATCAACACATTGGCGAAGGTACCCTCAATAGTTGCTTCATTCTTCAACAACTTTATTGGTCAATAAAGGTGCTGATCTTACAACCATCAAACTGCATGGTGGATGGAAGAGCTCCTCTGTAGCAGAAAGTTATGTTGAGGAGTTTATATCTAACAAACTTGATATTGCAAGAAAAATCCAAGAAAAATATAGCAGTTCCTTACAGGAAGAGACATACGTAACTTATGCAAATTCTTCACAAACTTCGGCAGATATTATGCGTTTCTAAAATGATGGCAACAATGCTACATGGGTTGTTATTAACGGAATGGAAGTTAAATGTGATAAAACAAAAAACGAAATGTCTATTACTATAAATGTAAATGTTAATGTTAATAAGTAAATAAATTAAATTTGATTTATTATAGGTTTATTATTTTTTCATTATTCCACTAGTGAAATAAAATTACTTTATTCCACTAGTGGATGTGTGGATATGATAAATAATTCATGAAGATGATTGATTGGTGATTGTGGATAAATAAATAAATATTTTCTGAGAAAACTAACAATTCCCGTTACTTTTTGATAAAATGTCGTGCTTGATTAACACACTGGATAATAATTTCAAGAGAGTTTATATCGATTTATCTTCAAATAATGCATTTTTTATTTAACGCGATTAACTTTAGGATAAAGTAACTAACAGTAGGTAGGTCAAGTTTTTACAAATAGATATATTTACATTGTACTCATACCGTCACAGGTACACCTCAATTAACGTCAATAACTATGTTTCCATTATAAATAAAAGTAAATGAGTACTTGTCTAATCGATAGTGCATATTTCCGATAAATATTTACATTAGAAAACTTTAAAATGTTCCATATCCTGATAATTATTAGTATTTTTCTTCATTTACGTAATAAATATCCTTGTTTGAAACAATAACATATTAATAATGAGTACCTAATTAAACAAATAAATGTTTTGTGCCAATAATACGAATTAAAAGTAACAATCTGTGGCATAAGGTTTGTATAAACTAATTGAGATATATACAAAAAAAAATGTGGATAACGGGTAAGATAATTGTTAATCAAATAAACCATTACATAAAATCGTTTCAACTAGTTATTTATTTAAATTTAAGTGTCTAGGTATTATCTATACAGTGATAAGGAGTGGTTTATTTTAAAGATGCTGATGTTACAATCAAGTTTGACAAAAAATAATTAAATTATACTGAATGACTTAAATATATTTGAGAAAAAACATTTAGTGACCCATTTTTAAAGCACTTGTGGACTTCTTTCTTACAGATAGACGAGGAATAACCAGTTGCGTTATAAAATTATCAGATTCTCACACATCTATAGATTAAAGTAGAGGTAATAATAATGTATTAACTATGTGTCTCGAAATTAGAAGTAGAATCATATTCGATGCAAATAAATTATTGCCTGTCAAGGGATCCAGTGCAGTATGGTTTTAAGGGGTTTAGAGATTGAATAATTTCTTTATGCATTATGAAGGGATAAAGGGATCAGTTCACGTCTGGCACCCTGTTCCTACAAAAATCCCTTTATTCTCATAAACTATTTATTTTAAACGTAATTTATTATAAATCTAATTTGTTTTTTAAATTCCACATATGACCTACATCTCACCTATGTACGCGCCACTGTTGCTTACTTGTTTTTTGGAAGCAGTCTTGGATTTACGACCAAGCTCGCCAAGTTAGTATTTGACGTATAACCGACCACTTCGTACACTCGATGCACCTGGGCGACTACAGCTACTACCAGAACACAGTGTGTATGCAGCGGTATTTCAGATTTCACATTCAATTTCATTTTAAATTTGAAATGGTTCATTTTACGCCTCCTAAAAATGATGACCGACAATTTTTTGCTCTACTTTGGATCGAATACGATCCTACTATAGTTACTGTAATACCTACCTAACATTTTGATAACATTATAAAATAAACTTCCTTTTTTAACGGAATAATAACAATACTTTTGTCAGTGCAATACGAAAAAATTTGCGAAAGAATATACAAAACATAAAATACATTTAAAATTCTTAATTTTTAACGAATTTGAATCATATCCTATTTTTATGTCATTTTTCCACTGTCAAAATCCTTGAATAACTGGACATTTCTTTTATACACCAGAGTAGAAGCGTTGCTACCAAAAAGGAAATCTATGTGGTTAAAATATTTATATGGCACTTTATAGCTAAATATCACATTGGGTAAGACCTTCATAGTTTCCTGTGCCCCCTAAAAAAAACAAGTAACAAATAGTATCAAATCAACCAAAAATAAAATAAAATTTCACATACAAACTATGTTCACTAAAAGAAATCTGGAAATGAGATATTGTTAGGTCAAATTATTAAAAATTACTTTGACAGACGTCACGTCATCTCTCTCTGCATAAAATAAAGCGACAGGAGCTACTGCATTTGTTAAATTGTATTCTGGTGGCATTTTTGTCTTATATCTTTCCAAATTACCAATTTCTCCAAAGTCGTATTGTCTAAATATACCTAAAAAAATAAATTGTCAGCTTAAAACTGAGAAAATGTATCAATAAAGCTAACGATAAACAATATATAGGGATTAAAAACTAACAAAAAGGCATGGAGGGGCATCGAAGATATCGCCAAAATGATTCAAAATAAAAGTTTACGTTGTCTTGTGCAGCCCTTGGAGCATATACTACATTACGGCGACAGTATATAGACGAGTGATAGGGAGAGGAAAAAGTTTGGGTACTATTTTTCTCTTTCGTGCAGGCACGTGATTGACTAACGCAACTCTCTCGTCATATTCAAATAAAATTAAGAGAAAGTGAGAGAATTTGAAAATTCAACGATTGAATGAGCTTTGCAATTAAGAGTTATAAGATAGACAAAGTCATCTCAAATGTCAAAATTTCCAGTGTAATTTCCCTAGGGTAGACACGTACCTACCAATGGAAATATTTTCGGATTTTTTGTTGTTGCCGTAATAACATAATTTGATTGACATTGGGGTTACAAAATATAGTCCAGGCGGTATCTGTTTCATCAGATAATTTTTCTATGCAAATAAAAAAAAATGTTTTGTTTCAAAATCGATTTCGAACTCGTCTGCTTCCACTGTTTTTAGAAATTTATCGTACAACTAAAAATTAATACCAATTTTCAGTTGTTTATTTAAATAATTATTGTTTAAACAAATTTACTAGTATTACCTGTGCAACATGCAAAAATTTTGGTCGTGAATATTAACATAGTAAATAAATAATAAACATAATAAATAAACATAATAAATTAATCATTTTTTAAAGTAACTGTTTATCGGCATGACAAAAGTCCAATAATTAATAATAAAAGGTAGTTGAAAATATGATAATTGAATTTTTTAAGTTGCGAGACATCGATTTTAAAAAAAAATCATCGAAATTAGTCCATTAGATTATCTCAGATAAGTGAAATTTTTCCGAGCGTCGCAGTTTTGAATTCAGATCGGAGTAACTGTGTGTTTGAGTGACATTTTAAATGGGACACCCGTGATTGCAAATTTTGAAAAAAATTATATCTGGAAAGTACTCGGAATGACAAACCTATTAGTTCAAAAAACAGCCCTTATACTCTTATAGTTTTGCTGCAAATAAGAGTTAACTTTAACGGACTATAACTCCGAAAATAATGGGCGAATCATCTGGTTTTTTTTTTAAATACTGGTCTTTCCGAGTACTTTCAAACCATATTTTAAAATAAAAAAAAAATTTAAAAAGGCATTAAATTATTGCAATTGTTTATAAGCCTGATAATTGTGAAAATGTTTTAAACAATTACCACAGCTCACCTAATCGTCCGATTTGAATTTTTCAAAGAGCATTTTAAAGCTTGAGAGCTCTTCTTTTTGTGGTGAAATTTTCAAGTTTTCAAAGGCTTTAGATTTACAATTATTATGTAAAAACTATCGAACCGAATTGGATGAAATTTGGTGTGATGATTTTATATACTAAGAAGTTTAATTGGGAAAAGTATGAAGATTCTAAGTATTATTCAAGTGTCTGAAAAAAATTGACAAATAAACTAATACTTTTTGCAATTTTTTAGATGATTTTTCCGATTTTTGCAATAACAATAATTATTTTTTCGAATTGCAACTAACTCTATGTTGTTCAAAATTTAATTACAAAACTTTTTTTCTTCTTCCATTCTTGTCTGAAATGAATAGTTGCTAAGTTGTCGACGAGAAATCCAAGAAAAAAAATGATTTTTTTTCTATTTTTTTATACTTTTTTGCAATAACAATTAAGCCCACGATTTTTTTTATTTGCATAGAAAAATTATCATTTCTGGTGTTTTTTAGAAGCCGTTAAAGCAAAAATCTCCGATCATATGCGTTTTACCCAAGTATGCCCTTTTTAAAACAGATACCGCCTGGACTAATAGAGGTATGAAATTTTCATTGCAAAAGATTTTAATCACCTTTTGTGTTATTCTAAAAGATTTGCAAAACTAAATATGTTTACCATTTTTATATTCTAATTTTTACTTTTTATAAATACTAACCTGATTTTACATTTTGCATGTAATGGAACAATTGTCTAGCAGCAATATTTACGGGTCGTACGCTGAAAAGTAGGGAAGCAACTTCCTAAAAATTATAATTTAAAAGAAAAAAATTAATAAAACTCCAATGTCTAGAGACAAATATTGGAAGAAAAAAATGTAAAGTAAATATAGTTTCTTTTCTGTAAACTAAAAAAACAATCAAAAGTTAAAAGACAAAAAAGGTAGCACTGTGAAACAGTAATACAAGTAAAAATAAGAAAAACAAAAAACAAAAATTTAAAATTAAAACATTGTGAAATTCTTACATGTTCAATCTTTTCGATTTTCTAACATTTAGTTTTTTCGTGTATAATTCCAAAATATAATAATGTTCAGAATGTTAATTTGCTGTCATTCTACACTGAAGTACCATGAACAACTTAATAAACATATATATACAATATACAACATACCAGTAACACTATAATATTTACCTACAACTGGACAAACCCTAGTGACGCAGTTAAATCGATCACCATAAGAGTAGTGAATGGACTGTATCTTCTTTTCTTCTTTGAATAATGCGAAAATATTAATTAAAAGTGTTGTCCTATTAGGTACAATACTGTGTTTATGGGGAAAAGTGTATGAGTTTTCTACCAACCTACCTAATTTTTCAATATAAAATACAGATCTCAAAACTAAACAGAACTTTGTGATTGTCCAAGAAAAAGCCCTGACTACTGTGTAGGTACTGCTGTTTGTCCTGATCTACGCTAACTACTGTTATTACTGCATCTTACAATTTTTTTCATACAAAATACTATTTATTGACCAAATTGAATGATACAGTCATTTGTGCATTTAAAGTGGTAGGTATCCAGTTTACCTTAGTAATAAGTTGAGATTCATGACTTCCTATGACAGACAAAAGGTGTGTGCAGAATTGTAAAAAATATGTAGTTTCTGAACACAAAATTTTTGTTAGCAGTGCTATAGAATCGTTCACTGGAAATAAAACTCCCATTCCCAAAATATCATAAATCAGCTGAAAAAAAGTCTACATTGTATTTTCAATTTAATATATAGACCACATGAGAAAAGCTATAAACTATATAAGATAAAAAAAATTGGAAATTTGTCACTGATTTTGAAAAGACTAAATTCCTATATTGACTTTCATTCATTGAGTTGAAATATGATTAACAAAAACTGCATTAAAATATAATATTGCCATATTAATTTTCTGAATTTAGCCTAGCAGTTTAAAGCGTCAGTCTTTGAATTGTTGTTAATAAGACTAGACGTTAAATGAGCACCAAGTAGAATGGAAGAATATAAACTTGGTGGAATGTGAAATTAATACAAAATTTTTAGAATTATCAAAAAGTTGGAAGTAAACATGTATAATGTATGTATTTTGCACCTAATTTTATTTACATAAGTACGATGACGTTATGTAAGATTAGTAAAACTGAGGACTTTTTCTTTATCAAATATGTATCTACACATCTAACATATAAGGTCAGCTTAAATGCCAAATAAAATTTTAAACATACCTGGAACAGTTCAACTACATACGAAAATGTAACAGCGAAAGGATAGTCCATATATTTCAGAAGAACTGAAGGTGCATAAACACTGGAAATTTTTACTTTATCGTTATATTCAGGCCTTTCAGTTGCCATAACAAAGTAACACGTGTTACCTTGCGAGTGTCCAATAACGAAAACTTTCTGGTTCGTTTTATTTACTATGTAGTCTATATTGGCTGGAATATCGTATACTCCAATTTCATGGAAACTAAAAAATAAGAAATACATTGATTTTTAAAATGAAATTATTTTCCTCCGTTAAAGAATTAAATCTAGTATTGAGTTATTTACATTGTAAATGCTGTATTCTACAGTTAGCAAATTTTTATATGAGGTCGTTCAAAAATGCATTTAAAAAGCCTTAAAAAAAGTTCTTCAAAAAATAGTCCATATCTCCGGAAACATTTCTTTCCTACATAGAGAATATTCAAGTTTCCGTAAAAGATCTGTTTTTGTTTACATCCTCAAAATCGGTTGACCAAGTCAATTCAAATTTGGTACAGGAACTATGTCGATGATATAATTCACTAAACCACTTGTTAGCTTTTTCACCTCATGCCTCTCGCCAAGGAAATAGACACTGGAGTAACGTGGTTTCCGACCAACATAAATAAAAGCCACCTCGGCGGTCCTTCAAGGATTGGTTTTCGTCTCGCTATTATTTCTAGTTTTTATTAATGAGATTGCCCGGAACTTCAATTGTGAGGCCCTTCTTTATGCAGATGATCTCAAAATGCATCTGTCTGTGTCAGATATTAATGATTGTGTCAAACTTCTATCTAATCTGAACAAAACTTCTGATTGGTGTTTAAAAAATATAAACGAGTTATAGAAGAAAAGAAAAGAGAAGATTTTTAACGGGTTTTTCGATATATCTCGAAAAGTAACAAATCAATCGATACTTACAAAAAATCAGTCGATAGATCTTTTTAAAGCCTACAACTTTCTCATTTATAATTTTTCAATCGCTGCTATATATTTTTAGTTATTTTAGAAAAACCGTTTTTTGCAACTTTACGATTTTTTTTAACCATGTTCGCCATTTTGGATCGAGTTTAAAGAATAAGAAAATCAATTTAAAATTTAATTTCCTTTACGGTCATATTTTTTTTGTCCAGGTAATAATTTCTGTAAGCATTTCTCTATAATGCTTGGACTAATAGTAAAAATTCTAATTTGGCTGCGCCATCCTTTTCACGAATCAAATGAATGGGTCCCGATAACTACAATTTTTAAGAGAAGTATTACTATGATTATTTGAAGAAGTGCCAATGAATGTCAGGCGTGGTATATGGATCATGTACGATGAAGCTCTTCCTCATTCATTATCGGTTAAGGGGTACCTAAATGAAACGAACAAAGGTTGATTGGACCTGGCAGATCAGTTCAATGAGCATATCGCTAGACCTGAATATGCTGGACTTTGTTTATTTGGAGTTCGGTGTATTGGGAACCACTTGAAGACTTGTAAATTCAACAACAGTAAATAGAAGAAAGCTGACTTAGACCCTTGAAAAACCGTAGAATTGATTTCTAAGATGTGGAGGCTGCATTTTGAACACCTTTTCCAATAATGTATTTTTCATTAAATAAAAATGTTAAAGCTTTCAATTCTGTTTACCATTTCTTTTTTCTATTTTTAGCATGTACAAAATGAATTCATAGACGCTTATTTTTCATTTCATGGTTACAGCACCAATAATTTATGTTGCCATGTCTTGAAATGAGTTAAATTTTAATGACATAGAAGTACTATTAAAAAAATGATGATGACACCCTTGAACTCCACCCCTGTATTACACAACTCGCAGTAAGTTTATTATAGTGCTATGTCACCGTTATTTATCTTACTAGTCAAAAATGAAGCGTTTAGTTATAGATTCTTTTTATTTTTTATTTATAGAATCTATTACCTGAATTTCCAGTATTTAGGATCTCCAACATCAAAATATTTGTGTTTCTCAGAATACGGTGATCCCCTAGCATTTAGTATCCACACATCGAAATCTCTATCAGCTAGGTAATACACCAGGGAACGCCTGCCGAGTACCAAGAAGTATTCTGGATGAGCTCCCATACCATGTAGCAACAAAACTGGACTTCTATTGGTTCTATTGTTCGGTGGTTTTCTACCATGTGGTACTCTGTGTACCGTGAGTATATAATTATCTTCTGTTATGACCTCGTGAATTTCGAGGGGGTATCCGTGTTTTTTAATTTTTTGCTCCTAAAAATTTTGACAATACAAAATATTATACATTACGCAATGCCACAAAAAAGTGGGTTGCGCTGTGGATCAGACCAATGTATTCTATAGTACTTTGGCCAGCTTAATCTGAATCTAGAGTCAGAATTTCCAGATCAGTTCGGGTGCTGGCCCTGACCCTCACAACAAGAGACTCCACTAGAAAATAGTTTTCAAGATTTTTCAAACACAGACTTGAATATTTGGTGAAAAACCCTACAACCCTGTTGCTTCATAAATAACTCCGTTATGGGTGATAAACTCCGTTACACCATAACCCGGGATGTGCGAGAGTATACAACCATGAAATTCTATGGGAACGTGGATATCATACATCAGTAATTCAAAACTATAAAGCTGTGTGTTACTAAGCAAAAATTGACATATTTTTAGTATTTTCGCGTTTTTAAAAGTACCTATGTGTTCCCCAAAGGTCGCTAAACTATAGAATAAAACCTTTTACATTACATTTTTTTCAGCTCTCTTCAACTCTTTAAAGCTTACTTACGCAACTTACATTAACTTATTCGCATTTAAGGATACAATTACTGTCAGCAGAAGGATCAAGCTATACCTGCTATTCGACAATTTTTATATACCTTTATACCTTTTCTATATTAGGAAAATCCACTTACCATGTTGAGATCCGCTTCAGGATGGGTTATAAATTTCAGGGAAATTGAAACGTGCGCTACCATTTGTAATATCAGTAAAGGCGACCATTTAACCATGTTTCTTTCACAGAATTACGTTTTTATTGTGATTTGTACACAGTGACTGAAGCATAGAAAATTATATGGAGAAATGCTAATACTCATACATATAATTAAATAAAATTGTTTTACATTATAACCATCGTCTATAACACTAAAGTTAAATTATTATGCTTAGTAATTACGACTAATATGTAATTTAATGATACGCGGTTTATTGACGTTTACCATTATCATTTTTATTTTGTTACTACAAAGGAATCACAAAATTCCATTTAAGTTTTAACCTCAGTACTACATTGTAGTTGCTTGATTAAGTGCAATAAGGTACAATGGTAAACGTATGTATATACAATAATTTAGCTTAGTATAAGTAAAAATTGCATTCTCTTGATGTTAAGGTGTGAAAATCCTTTTTAGTTTCGCTTTGTCACCTCTGAGGAAAATTAAACAAACACAGATGAGAGGCAGTTAATAGGTGAATTTTGAAATAATATTTTTTAAATATAAATAGGCTAACTGATAAAAGTTATTTAAACAAAAAATTAAACACATTTTTATGCGAAATATCCAAGATATATTAAAATATTTGCTTCGTTGAATATATTTAACTCCAAACTTTTTCTGTAAGAAAAGTTGAAGGTGTAGCTGACGCATATAAGAAGTTGATCTGATTCTTGGATGAAAATCTTACTTCAGAGCATGTTTTGAGAAATAAGTGCCAAAATTGGCCACAAAAAGTTAAATAATATCTCTCGATATCGTTTTCCATTGACAGTCACTGCGTTTCCAGCCTCAGTTTCAAAAATTAACGGACCAAAATTAAACAAACACAGATGAGACAGATAATAGGTGAATTCTGAAATAAGTTTTTTTTAATAGAAACGGGCTAACTGACAAAAGTTATTTAAACAAAAAATGAAACATACAAATAATTGTAAGCATGTTTAATCTCTTAATTTTAAACTTTTTCTGTAAGAAAAGTTGAAGGAGTAGTTGACGCATATAAGGAGTTGATCTGATTCTTGGATGAAAATCTTACTTCAGAGCATGTTTTCATCAAACTAAAAATCAGCATATCCAATATTTGAGAAATAAGAGCCAAAATTGGCCACAAAAAATTAAATAATATCTCTCGATATCGTTCTCCATTGACAGTCACTGCGTTTCCAGCCTCATTTTCAAAAATCACCCCGCCAGCGTAAAATCCACGCCATACTGTCACTCTGTGGCTATACAGTGGTCATTCTTGAATAACCCGAGGATTGTCTCTGCCCAAATTCTGCAGTTTTGCTTGTTCGCATACCCACTCTGCACCTCGTCGTGAAAGATGATTTTCTTAGCAAAATCAAATTGAGCAACTATTATTTTCACAGTTGTTTTATTCGGGGCGTTTCTTCTGCCGAAAATTCCAGGTAATTAACGCATAGTTTCAGCTACACAATCTCCGTAATTGTAATGAATTGCGGATTTGTTGTCCTTTTACTCTTTTTTGGAACACGCCATGTATCAGTACATATCTCAATATCAATGAAAACCAACTGTATAAAGATCGGTGTGAGTGAAAACAATAAAAGTTCGGAGTAAATCCATTGAGTGAAATTATTGAGTACATTTTCACTCACTATAGGGCATTTTGATCATTTTACTCATTTGTGATTACTGATTATATTTAAACTAAAACTGAGTAATGTCACTCAAATATAGGTACTGCTTAAATAAATTCTTGTACTTGTACCTAAATCATAGTAAATGTCCTCAGTACTGAGTGATCCCACCCTTCTTCATATCCAGATGCATTGCTTTGTCTGTTCCCATCGTCCCATTAGGTTATCTCGTGACAGTGGCGTGGTGGATGGCAGTATGGCGTATCTGGTTATTCTAGTGAAAATTGTATTTAAATGCAGTGATTTAATTATTATAATTAAAGACAATATAATAAGTATAATATATTAATATATGGTTAAATAAACGGATAGTTAAATTGTTATCTATAATTACGTATTTGTAACGTACAATAAAGGTTATAGCAATCTATTCGTCCAATCAGGTCACCAATTCCTTTATTCGAGAACTAAAATATTGTCTCTAAAACAGATCTGTATTGAAACCACTGTGGCTGCTTTGTAATTTATGACTTTAATACAATGATATTTAAATTAAAATTTAAAGAGATTATAAACCAAGTCTGAGTAAAAAATTACTCAATAATAGTTTTTAAATCATAATAGAGAAAAAGTCAATCGATTTGAGTAAAACTCGCTCATTTCTGATGCAATAGTTTCACTCAGTACTCATACAAATAGAGTGAAAATTTCACTCAACCGGATGCGGACAGAAATTGATACATTAAGCAAAATTAAGTGAAATTTAAGCGAAATTTTTTTAGAGTGCATAAAGGCCTTGATCCAGGCCTGTGCTGTATCCGTGTAATCTAGTTCCACCTCATATTAAAGATGTACTATAATCTGTTATTAAAATAATTAATATTTTTGCTGAACATATATTTCTTAATTATTACTTAGATAAGCCTAGGAATAATACAACGAATTCTGTTTTAAAAAAATAGTAATTAACAAAAACATTAACGAACGTTAATGATAACGCCATTTTTTTAATTCGAATATGTACAGATATACTTAAATAACAAAAAATTGAAATTAAAATATGACATTTATGATCCAAAAAATTAACGATTTAAGATTTATAGTTTGTCTTTTACTTGTAACGGTACCCATAGCAATATTATAGATTATTTTCAATTAGACAGGGTGTAACCTACAACTCGTCAATGTTTGACTAGGTTATGATACCTTTTGGGTATTTGGCTAACTCTGTGGAGAAGGGAGTGGTTCTAGATGTTAACCGGGCGCCAGACAAATTTTCTATAGCCCAATAAACACCCTAATAGTTGACTGCCAACTTCCGAAAATAGTCAAAAAGAGGTCGACGATAAATAAAATACGATAATAGTACAACACAAGATAAATATATTTTATTTTACGTATTTACACTTATAATTGAGTTAAATGTATATTTACTGAATACTGTCTGAAAATTAATATAGTATTTTAATTAATAGCAAAAGCAAATATTGAAACTAGCTACGCAAACGATTAGAGATTAGGGAAATAAAATATATTTAAGCAAAATGCAAAAGACAGGCAATAGGCTTCGAAATGGCGTCGCTTGAGCTCAGGCGCATGCGCATAAATAGCAGCAAGCAGGTGTATACCGTAAATAAGCAGGTAAGTACCCCTAATTTCCGCAAGCTTATTACAAAATGCTGTCAATTAATCTAGTCAATAAAGTGAAAATAAAAGAAAATATTAAAAAAACAACAATGTAAATGTGCAAATATGGCCAATAAATAAAGAATATTAACAAAAGCGCATACATGCAAACAATCGGATCTAAGCCAGTAAAGCTAAGCAAATAATAAATGTTACTAAGCAAGAGCAAATTACTAATACTAAAAATTTAATGTTACGATCAAAAATTAAGCATAGAGAAAAAAAAAGAATAAAAGCAAAAAGTTTGTTTCAAAAACTTGCGTGATATCCTTTATTATCCAAGAAATATGTCTAGTAGAGAATCTTCCACGGAGCTGTACCAAAACTCCTACGAGATGACGAATGATGGTAGACGTGGTAGTATCGATTGCGTAATGCTTGACTGAGACTGTCACAGGAGATGTTTGAATAAGTACAGGAAAGTCAACAGTGTTCCAAATGCTGTTACGTAGAAGTCCAGCTTCAAAAACAAAAGGAATCAAGCTTCCAGGAAATATTCCAAGAATGTATGGTCCCAAAAAAAACCCTAGAGGAGAAAATAAAAAGAAATAGTAAAACTATTCCACGACGTGTTATTTATAATCTACTAAATTTATTTCCTTCAATTATAATAATTTAAAAATAATCTGACAACGTCGACAAATGCGGTCGCCCGTGAATAATTTTTACTGAAAGTAAGAAAGAAATGTTTTAAATAAGAAAAATAAACATGGAGAAAAGTTTATAACAAAATGAGATATTAATAATAGTATTATATTACTCACCCTTAACAAGGGGTTTTTATTCTCCACGCAAACCACTTGTCAGCCGATAACGCGCAAAAGTGGACCTTATGAACCTGGTGATAAGACAGAAAAGAAATAAGCACTGGATTTAAAAGAAATAACAGCAATAAATACTGTTTGCACAAGCGAAACAGTTAACTGATGATAATTGAAATGATTAAAACATACCTCTTAAGATTTTAATCCATTGAATTAACGATAAGTCTCACACAGCGTCGTGTTACAAATCCTTCCAAAGAAGTTAGAATTTCGGGATTTCCAGCAAAATATTTGCTCCAAAAGAACTAAGCACCCTAACTAACCCGCAAGTTCTTCAAATTTGGACGCAAAAATTAATCCTAATTAAAGATGATTGTAAAAATCATAGATTTCCACGAGCCACAATCACACACGCCGTTGCTAACTTTTTAAGCCGTCCAAGAACCCAAGTTCCCCTCCAAAAATGAGACAGAAGATCGAAAATACCTAGGAACATGTCGTGGTCTGATTGGTCAGTACCTCAGCCAATCACAACCGTATGTTCAAAAAATTATTACAAATATTAAGTTTACTTATACATAGAGAACAATATAGCAACCCTATACCCACATTTTACTATTTAAAACATTTATATTAACCCCCTAAACCTATATTAATGCAAAACAAATAACCGCAACTTCAAGATTCGAATTAAGTTTGGCAATACTGCCAGAAATCTGTTGTATTTCGATACTGGTGAACCGCGAATCGACCCAAGCCAGAATTTTAACAAAAAACTCCAAGACATAAAAATCGATATCTTTAAGTATTAAACAGGTACGAAATTCAAATAGGAATAAATCAGCTAATGTGAGCAATTATACGAGATGAAACGAAATGAAACGAAAGTAAATGTACTAAAGAAAATGATTAACTAATTATATGTATAATATTCGATCTAATTTTTAACGATAACAAACCGAAAATTACAATGAAATTTTAAAACGTAACAACTTTATGAAAAGTTGGCAATAAATTAAAAAAATGTAGGCAAAATAAAAGAAAAAATGCACTCTTCCAATTTTNAGAGAACGATATAGCAACCCTATACCCACATTTTACTATTTAAAACATTTATATTAACCCCCTAAACCTATATTAATGTAAAACAAATAACCGCAACTTCAAGATTCGAATTAAGTTTGGCAATACTGCCAGAAATCTGTTGTATTTCGATACCGGTGAACCGCGAATCGACCCAAGCCAGAATTTTAACAAAAAACTCCAAGACATAAAAATCGATATCTTTAAGTATTAAACAGGTACGAAATTCAAATAGGAATAAATCAGCTAATGTGAGCAATTATACGAGATGAAACGAAATGAAACGAAAGTAAATGTACTAAAGAAAATGATTAACTAATTATATGTATAATATTTGATCTAATTTTTAACGATAACAAACCGAAAATTACAATGAAATTTTAAAACGTAACAAGGGTGATTTAAAATTCAGTACAAAATATATCGAAAACTAAGCATTTGTGGACCCACGTTTATAGGAAAAAAAGTTTTATTTTGACTTCTAAAATATGGCCCTAAATTCTTTGTACTGAATTTTGAAACACCCTGTATAGATAAGTGGAACTTATTGGGATATTTAGCTTCACATATGAGTTCCTGGAATAGGGACTACTTTACACTCAGGTTTTTTTTTGTATATGATGGCTTCTGGCTACAGTTAAATTTTTTATTTGATTCACAATATTTTTTTTTATAACTGCGTAATTTATCAAAATTGGAAAAAGGTTTTAGTTCTTTCCAAAAAACTGTAATTTGATTAGTTTTATTTGTAATAATGGGAGGATCACCTCCATTGTAAGAAAATGTGTTTGGTTTTTGCGGTTGAATTTCCAACTTCGTTTATTATTTTATCAGAAGGATAAGAACTTTTTTATATTTTTGCCCTAGATTGACCAGTGTCTTGCGTATTTCCTGAAATATCTGTCGTGACCTCAAAATTGCAGTCTCCTAAATATAGTTCATAATAAGCTGTTTATTACAATTTTGATATCAATATTATAGACGTTTCCATTTACATTTCTCTAACATGTAACCCCAGAAAATTTTCCAATTTACGCATATTGAAACAAATTAAAACTTTTCCAAATCATGAATTAAATATTAGGCATGCCAGATGTACTCTGCACCACACTTCACACACGATATGCAAAAAAAATATAATCGTTTTAATTTGCACAAAAAAGTTGTCGCCGTAATAAGCATCTTCAATTCGTTTTGTTGCATGCAATCCTTATAAATAAAATGCAGTGATGAACGGAAAACCCTTATTTTAACTTTTCGTGCCTCGGAACATCTATAATCTCTTAATAGACAGTCGGTTTTCGTATACATAAGTTGCTTATTTTATAAAACACAGTGCAAATATTATTAAATCACAGGAACATGAATAGGTGGATGTGTTTTTGGTGTTTTTTAATTGCAATATTTCAAATCTCAAAGGCCAAATATGCAGATGATGTAGATTTAAATATTGTAAGTTATTTTTCAATTTTATGCAATATCGAATATGTATATAGTATGTATTATGAATAATATATTTCGACAGTTCATATTCATTTCATTTCATATCATTTTCAAATTTCTAAAATAACTACTCACGTTTAGAAGCACTCTTATTGCTACTACATCTATGAAGATTGTTAGATTGATTTGATAACAATATTGTTTGGTAAATTGACTACAAAAATTAATTATTGTACTGTCATCTTCTTTACTTCTAAAGGCTTTTAAGTACTGAATAGTGTACCTGCTTGTTTGATGAGTTTACCTAATACGTAGCAGAATGCAAATAAAAACGATCTATATGAGATTTATAGATTAAAGGGAATAAATCTTAGGAAAAATAATTCATAAATATTAATGGTTGGCTTACTATTTTTACAGGTGTATATATGTATTTGCATTGTTCCTCCTTTTTAACTAAAAATTTAACTTTAAACAACCAGCTCTATACAAAGTAAAGAAACCACATTTCATAACTTGATTAATAAGTTGTTAGTCAACTGTACCCCTACATTCAGTTAGTTGACATCACTTTTGTTAGTCCCAATGATTATAATTGTATATTAAAATTATGCATTTTCTAGTATAAACAAGCTACAAACAGACATTACCGGTTATTGTAGCAGCAAAGGTTTACGGAAATTACTGAAACAATGTTTGTCACGTGAGATTTGTTTATTTATATTTAATAACATATTATTAGTTGAAAACAATCACAGCTCGCAATGTTATTTTGATCAGAATGGCAGAGGAACTCAAGGCAGAAGTTCCAAAACTGTACTTCATTCACAGACGCCTATTGTATAATAGAGAATTCAAATGTCAAAAAATTTAAACAAAATATCAATGTATTGTGCCATTAGTTCTTTAAGGCTTCTTGGCCATAAACATAGAATCATCCCTATATGAGAAATACAGTTTCTTCCTTTTAGACAGAAATAACTAAAAAATATGGTTTTCCCGTGGAAACCCACGAGATTGAAACGGAAGATGGATATCTTTTAGATGTGTATAGAATCCCATTTGGTCGTTTTAGTCGCACGAGAAGGACAAACAGATATCCCGTGATTCTAAACCACGGTCTACTGGGTTCAGCAGAAAATTTCATTCTTATGGGTCAAAATAAATCCTTAGCTTACATGCTGGCAGACTACGGATTCGACGTATGGCTTTGCAATGCTAGAGGAAGCTGGCATTCTAGAAAACACAGGACTTTACATCCAGACAAAGATGCAGAATATTGGCAATTTACGTAAGTGAGATAGATCATTAAGTGATTTAATAAATAGGAAATGGAAAACATGAAACCTCTGCTTAGATAATAATATACAGGGTGGTCCGAATTTTATGCAGGAAACTTCGAGGGCAGAGAGATCTCTTTAAAATAATATGTGTTACCTTATTATATGAGCTCTAAAGGTACAACAAATGGTGTACAGGGCATTTTTTTATTAAAAAACCTACGCCACTGCATTTTTTACAAGTTATTGTAACGGATTTATATTCTAATGCACAAAATAAGTAAAAAATGTAACTTGATTTTTTCCCTAAGATTCACCGTTTTCAAGTTATTCATAAAAATAAGTCTCCTTGTGCAGACATTTCTAATAGACCGGGAGATATTAGATTGAAGTTCGACGACGTCTTTCTCGTTTATGCCTCTGAGAGTACTGAAAGGTAACCGAGAGACAAGTACCTACAATAAACTAAATTTAAAAGATGGGCTGCGGGACACCTTTGTGAAAATTCAATCTTCCTTTTCAAAAAAATGATGTGTACAGCGACGTATTTCTCACTTATGCCATGTTCATAAGTTGAGGAGAAGTATCGATTTTAGCACAAAATTTTGTTGGCATAAGTGTAACTTTGTAAGAAAATGAGAAAAACATCTTTATTTGTCTACCAATTTATCATTAATGCCAATAATTAGAAATATGACATTATTATATTCGAAAAGCTCATAAAAAACATTGGCACAAGTCCTACTGAGGACTAATGAAAATAGGGCTTTAGAAAAAAAAGTACACATTATTTTTTTGCAAAAGAAAATTAAATTTTCACATAGGTGTCCCGGCGGGCACATCGGTTTTTTCCATAGTCTTACTTGTCTCTAATGTATCTTTCAGTATCCTAAATGGCATAAACGAGAAAGACGTCGTTGAACTTCTACGAGTCTCTCCCGGTCTATAACCATAATATTACTGTATTGCCCAGCCAATTTACTGGGCTTGAATTTTTCTCTCTTCTGATTTTAATTTGTGTGAGACCCTAACTGGTATAATTAAACACCTCACGCTGTTGTGGACTGTATTTATTTTTCACACTCGGTACAATATATTCATTTCCTAAGGTTTCAACACGTCTAACTATCGCGAGTTCTTATAAGTAACTAACAACTAACAACCTCTGTAATATATGTAACTAACTAGTTTTTTTTTTGTTAGCCAGCATCGACGGCTAGCATGTAGTCCCTGCTACCAGCCCTATAGGGTAGGCAACACCTTATACGTTCTTAAAGGTACCCAACAATTACAATTATATGTATTTATGCTTAAAAGTAGGTGGAATTTGTAAGCACATCAACAAAATTCTTTACACTCGTTTCCACACCACCTGTGAGGTAGAGTTCCTTACGCGTTTTAGTTCCCCTGGAAGCCTAACCCACTATCTTTACAAATAAGAACAACTTAAATCAAAATAATAATAATAAATGTACATTTACCAAAGGCGAGGGGTACTGAATTTTCACCATCTGTATATTTGGTCACATGAAATTCAGACAAGATCTTTACAATGCCAATTTTCTGTGAACGTGTGGCTCGGAATAATTCGCAATCAAGTTTGTGGACCTTTCTTCTTGCCACCCGGTCTAAATTCCCAGTCATTTCTAATCCATCTATTTGAATTATTAGAGGATGTTCCATTAAATATACGACAAAATAGCGGATGCAATGGATGGTGCTCCTGCGCATTCTGGGAGAATAAAATAAGAATGGCTTACTGAAAATTATATGGGGGTGATGGATAGGTAGAAGACCAAAGGCCAATGTCAACCATAATGATGCAGATGGTCCAGTGTCTTGGCCAGCCAGATTGCCATATCTAAACCGCCTGGACTTCTATATTTACATATACAGATGTTTCATAACTTTCAGGTGGCATGAAATAGGAATCTATGACCTTCCTGCAACAATCGACTACGTACTAAATGTGACAAATACGAATAAGGTGCACTTTGTCGGACATTCTCAAGGAACTACTACATTTTTCGTAATGTGTTCCGAAAAACCAGAGTACAACGAGAAAATTAAAGTAATGGTAGCCATGGCTCCTTCCGCTATTTTAGGACACTTGAAGGAACCATTTCTAAGAATGCTAGTTCCATTTCATCCCTTTCTAGAGGTAATATTTCTTATTGTAGAATTTTAACACTTAGGGCAAGTCGTTTTAGTTTGGATAGTTTCATTTAATTTTTTTCATTCTCTAAACGCCAGTCGATGGCTCCAAAGTAGATTTTTTTCCAAAGCAAATTGTATACGATACTTTTCTCTTTTCATGGCAATATTGAAAAGTTTAGTAAAATCTATCAGTTTACCCGCATACTATTAAAATTGAAGCAGTATTTTACAAATACATTTTACAAGTTGGACCTATTCTTTTATTGGTGAATTAAATCAGAATATTCCTTTTAATAAAGGCTTCAGGGAAAATGTAGAGGCTTTAGAAGACAAAGATGTACCTATAGTTTAAAATAACATTTCAGAAAAAGCAATTTGAAATATATTTTTTACTTTGGATTTAATGACAAACTCATATAGAGATCACTCAAAAAGAGACTAAGACCAGGCGTCGATGTTTTTCATTGCTGATGCACTTTCTCTGCGTTCACATTGTACTTCTTCGTCTTATCATTTCAATGTCGTCAAAATATAACTCATAACCAATAGGTAATATTTTTCAGAGGTTATCCGATGATCTGAAGGAGTACGAGTTGTTGCCTTTTGTTTCAAATAGAGGAATCCGGTCTTTAGGCAAAGCTTTGTGTGGCAAAAATAGTCTCCTGTCGTCTAGTACATGCCGTTTTGTGGTTTCAATGGTCCTTCAAGATGAAGAAATGGATAAGGTTGGTATAACCAGAAATACTATCGAAAAATATATTTTGTCATCATCATTTCAAGGATTGTAATAAAATTTATTACATGTAATATAGAAAATTAACTAATTTAAAAACATGGAATTATATTAAAATATTTATAATCACCTCTAGCTAAGTGAGGAACACATAAAAATTCGATGGGATTACTTAATGTTCCCTGAAAGTCTGTGGGGGAGCGAGGACTTGTTTGTGAATTAATTAAAATGGTATTTTTAGTAGGAATACATAGCTTGACTTTTTGATTAAACTACATAAACTGACTAGACCTGAAATCAACTCAAATTGAAGTGATTTATCTGATTTTCGTCGAGTGTCAAGTCAAAACAGTTTGTAATATTTTCAGTATTTGAAAATTTGCTATGGTGTTGCAATTTTACTGCAACTGCAACTGCATGGTCATTTAAACTAATTTAACTTTGTTCGCCTTGTACAAACAGTTTTCACAGCCTACAATAACAATATCATTCTGAAATGAACTTACCTCTTTAACATTAAAGTAAGGTAAATATTACTCAACACTAAGTAGATAATAGTTAATAGTACTAGTGTTTGCCATTAAAGTATAATTGATTTACGAAGTTTGCTTTATTTGCTGCATTCAGTTTTCCGCGAAACAGAAGCACTTGTCAAAATCTATCTGCATCTTTGTACCGGCTTTTTACAAGCACACAAATCATGAACATGCTTTTGATGCTTTAAAGAAGGCATTTATATGCGCAATTTTTTGCAAAGCATTGTAGAAAATCTAAGCAAATTAGAAACAGTATCTCTTCACTATACCAGTTATATAAGTTTTCTTCAAGGTATAAGGCAACTCACAGAACTCACAATACATTCAAAATAATGAAAAAAGCATATTTTTACCTCGCATGTTGATCTTATGTTCCCTGAATTTTGTACGCCTTTTGAACATGCAGAAAATCGCGTACCGTAAACATAATCACACCCTATAGGATGCTTTTTTTATTTTCAAACATTATACTATATATAGTCCAGTCTATAAACTATATCCTAGTAAAGTTACTATAGAAAATCCCTAAAGTCATTAAGTAAACAGAGTACCTGCGAAATAATTTTAATTTTGAACAATTTTTAATTTTATTTTAGGACGTTATTCCTTTATTACTTTCGACTGTCCCTGCCGGAGCATCTGTTAAGCAAGGACTGCATTATGCGCAGATTGCTGTTGCAGGTGAGTGGAATAGACCATACAACAAATGATAAAACAGTAACACAGATTTTGTTAGCTTAATTCAGGTTTAATAAGTAAGCGGTGAAATGTTTGAAACTTTACAAGTTTGTTTGAAATTTATTATATTAAAAGTTAATTCGAATAGTTAAAAAAATATTTTTTGACAGTAATTGGTGCCTTTTAATTGCCTTTTGGTAATAAAAATAGGATTTAATCTATTCTAATGTAAAAAACTTTTTCTATTCGCTTTTAGGAACATTTCGAAAATATGACTGGGGCCCAAAGGAAAATATGAGAAGATATAATTCAAGAACACCGCCAGAATACAATATAAAACATATTACTGCCCCAATTGCAATATTTTATGGAGAAGCCGATGATAATGTGGCAAAAGAGGTAACATTTGTAAGAGTCACATTTTTATTTTAGCGATTTGTTAAAGATTTTTTCAAACACATGAGTATATCCAAAACATAGTTGAGCACTACATCTACCAAAGGTGTATGGCTTCATATTCCCTACACCGGAAAAGAGCGACTTATATTGTTATTGCAGGGAACAACTACCCTCTGTTCTGACCAGCTTTGAATTATACCTACAATATCGAGATAAACTTTAGGATCGTTTACCAGTGGAACCACCAGACATTGCCTTCATCAGCATGTCTCGTGTGCATTTACTCATTATATTGAGTTAAGATCGTTCGTAGTTGTTTTACCTACGGCATATTGTATCTCTCTACGGTGGTTCGACTAACGAACGACTCTAGCTGGCAATCTATATATTACAGGTATATTTCAATGCTCTGTGGAATAGATAACCTGCAGAGTATGTTGTTGTTTCCTACAATATCACCAGTTCAGTCACATCAGGTCAAAAATTAAATAAAATAGTTTGGGTGCTACATGTTTTGATGAATTTACCTATTCTTGTTATTTTCTGTTCATGTTCTACCTTACTACATGTGACTGACGATCTATTTAGAGCCTGCGATATTGGTGAAACAGCTTGTTTAGTTTTGCTTGACTATAAGGCATTTGATACAGTTCATCATGCCACTTTGTGTGCCAAACTTAGATATTTTGGTCTTAATCCTAGTGCTGTTAACTCTTTTCGCTCTCACTTGTCTGGATGGCGGAAAAAATTTTTAAATGGAATCTCATTCGCTCTGATAAATATAGACGTGGGGGTGCCACAAGGAAGCGAACTGGGCCCTTTGCTTTTTTCACTTTATACTGCGGATCTTCCTAATATTGTTAAACATGTGAATACTCATCAATATGCGGATGACTTCCAATTATATTTACACTTTCTGTTAAGACTTTTGGATTCTTCAATAAAAAAAAAATGATGATGTAAATAGTATTGTATCGGTATCTCAGGTACATGGTTTGATCTTAAATGGTGCGAAAACTGTGCTACTTGTTGTTGGTAAGCATAAAGACTTAATTAGTTTGGACCCTCGGTTCAAAATATCTGTAAATGGAAGTATCGTAAGTCCATCTGATTGCTGTAAAAAATTAGGGGTCTATATCTTAGATTTACTAAACATGTTAACTTTTTAATACAAAAATCTTGTGCTAAATTACGTTCACTCTATAGGTATACATAAGGATTATATAACGTCGGATATCAAATTAAGGTTATGTAACTTTAATTCTGAGTAATCTAGCCTACCGTGATACTGTTTATCGGCCTGCCATTCTAAACAAGGATAAGGGGACCTTACAAAAAACACAAAACGCATGTATTAGATTTTCATATAGTCTGCGCAAATTTGATCACATTAGCGCAAAATTTAAACAATCTAAATGGCTTAATTTAGATGAACGCTTTCAATTAAGAATGGCTTGTTAGTACACTAAATTGGCAATATGAAGACACCTAGTATTGATAAACTTTTAAAGAGCAGAGATATCCACAGTCGTTTTACCCGTCACAATGAGCTGTATGTTGTGCCAAAGCATGTCTCCTCACTCTTTCACAGATCTTTTAGTTATAATGCTGTACTTATCTACGAGTATAATAAAATATCTCGAACAATTAAATCTTGCAGTGATATTATTTCTTTTAGGAAGTTGGTCAAGTCCAGTATATATGAGAAATAAATCTTATCAAAATTGTTTTCGTCTTCTTCTTATTATGATTTATTATAGTAATATTTTTAACTGTTTTGAAGATATAAGTACTTCCGCCATTTCTTTTTTAATTAAATGAAAAGTATTTTTTAAGAAAATATGTTAGGTACCTATTTAGATAAATCTTTTTGTTGTAGGACGTAGAAATATTGGCAAAGTTATTGCCAAATGTGGTTGAAGTGTATAAAGTTCCCTCAAAAACATGGACCCATATGGATTTCCTCTGGGCTAAAAATATTGATGAATTAGTAAATAACAAAATTATTGAAGAACTGAAAAAATATAATAAATAAAAAGCCTACATACATAACTACTTAGATATTATACTTTTTAAAGATTTAGAGTAAGGAATGTCTCCAAACACTGATTTTACAAGTTTATTTAGGTTTAAACAGTAATAATTAGTATACACTTTTGACTATCACAATTTTGATATCCTCTTTAAGGTTTTTGATATTTGATAAATATTAGATACTGACTCGTAGAAAAAATAACTCAATGATGATTGTGATTCAACGAAAAGTTTAATAATGCGTAGATTTATCCTAAAATATGGTATTAATACAATAAATTATTATTTATTATTTACATATACTACAAGCCTTGTGATTTAATTTACAGAACAACCACTATAACGCCGTAGATAATTACATTAATTTTATTAATTAGAGATGATGTTTTATACTTGTAAAAATGTTTTATACTACATTGCTGACTTGAAACTGTTTTGATATTTAAATAAAATTATACCTAGTATTAATTACTTTCCAAATTATATATATTATATTCTCAAAAAAAAAACATCCAATTTAACAGGTAATTCCACAGCATAATAATTGTTGTTTTAGTGTTACTTCCTTAGTAACTTTTTATTACGTACCTGACAAAACTTCTTACTCTTTATTAATTTTGGAAATAAATTACAATACACAAATAACTAATATTAGGTAATTTGAATTGAATAACTTACTTTGATTTTGAACAAATATGCTTTAAATAATATAATATCTCGACTTATGTAAATATTTGTGAATAATTAAAAACTAAAGCTACTTTCAATTTATTTCGAAAACAATGTAAGTACTTTTGTTACACTCTGTATTATATATGGGGCATTCCTCGCCGAATAGACCACTTTTAACCCTGACCTCTTTCGATTTGGCTGAAACTTTTTTATTGTTTTCTACCCCATTGAGTTATGAATTTTTGAAAAAAATAGCTTTCTTTAAGTAACTATAACTTTTTCAAAAATTGAGTTATCGGGACGTTATTTTTTCAATATGTTTGTTTTTCAATATACTTTTTGAAAAAAAATAGATCAAAATTATCTGAACCTATCTTCACTGCTTTTTTTCAATTTTCGAA